TAGCCTTCACACAGGCTCGTCTTTGTTTTCCCATATCCTAAATAAAGCATAAGCATTCCCCAAAGAAGAGATCTCTAGATCCCTTTTTTCTACTTCAAGTATTTCCTCTATATCAATGACTCTCAAATCAGTTTACTTCTTTTAAGAGCTCCAATTCCACATATATTTCAACTGTACCCAGTACCTTTTGCTAGGCTGTGTGACTTCAGTCAAATCAAGTCACTCCCCATCTCAAGATCATTTAGCTCATCCATAAAATGAGGGAGTTGCCTCTCTAATGCATATAAGAGAATGTTCTAATTCTCCAACCTAGTGTTTAATATCATTTATAGCCAAGCTTTCTACAGATCTTGCCAAATACTTCTCACATACTTTTACCATATGTCTCAGTCCAACACAACCAAGCTCCTCACTGTTCCTCATACGTGTCCTCTGCTTTTCTGGCCTCTTCCTAGAACACCTTTCCCATCCCCCAAGCTCTGCATCTCCAAAGTTTGTCTAATCTTTGAAGCGTAATTCAAACACCACTTTTGTAAAGCTGTTTTTTATCTCCTTGATGGCATGCCCTTTGTGTGGATTTTATTCTCCTAGTATTATAGTTGTTTGTCTATTTCTTCTCTCTCTTACTTGACCCTGTCATCTTGGAGGGCAAAGGCTATTCCTAAATCAGTCTGTATCCCACATTGCTTTTGGTTCACAGCACTTAGTAACCTTACACTGAATGGATTCAGTTTAGGCTCCATCAGTCATCCTGCTTAAAAAGCCTTTAATCAGTCCCTGCATTTCTGGAATAAACATCAAAATCCTTACAATGTCCCACTTCAGCCACACCAGCATTTGTTCAATTTCTCAAATTCCCTATGCATCTCAGGGTCCTCATGCATGTTCTTCTCTTCATCTACAAAACTGCTCCACCTCCCATAACTCCAACCTACCCCATGTCTCTACTCACCATTAATATCACTTCATCAAAGCTTTTCATAAACCCCAAGCTAGATCAGTTTTTGTCTGTTATATATCTTCATAGCCCCACCTTCATATTTTTTCTTTCATAGCATTTATTACTAACTGAAATAACAGTTGTGTGAGTATCTGATTTATGGCCACTTCCCCATCAAACTATAAGCTCTAAATAAGCAAGGGCCTTGTTTCTTTTCTCACCCTTGTATCATCTGCATGGTGCTTAACCACATCACTGAATAAATAACTGTTGAACCACTGAATTGATGAACAACTGATTTAAAGGTAGGGACTTGGGACTTAAGAGTGCACAAAATCTTTGCCTGGCTTGATATAATTCCTTTAAAGTAAAATTGGGATGCCAGGTAAACTGGCCTTATAGCCACCTTTAGAAATTTATACAATAGGATAAACAATGTCTCCCCAATGCTGGAAGGAAACCAAAATTTCCTTTCTTTAATGAATGTATGGCTCCAAAAGGCATAACTAATACCAAGTGCTTTGCTCACTCACTTAACATTTATTAAACACCTATTCTATGCCACACAGTAGGCTAGTGGCTGATAGTACAATAAATTGGAGTGACCCAGCCCCCTACTTGCTTGGAATATATAATCTAAGAGTGGCATTTATAGAAGCTTTAAAAAAACCTTTATGACAGTCACAACATCTATGTAATGCTACTTTGTAAGGGTATTAAGTTCTCCATCAAAGGAGACATTTAACCTGAGGGTGAAAAATCATTTGGCAAAAATGATTTAGAAATTATAACTGTGCACAATCTGGGCCTCTTAAATTAGCAGTAGCTTAGACCAGTGCTGTTCAAAGTGTGATCTGCAGACAAATGCCTGTCTGCAAACATTTATTGCCAGGTAGCAATGACCTAGGTGCATAAATTGAGAATAAGCACTTATAAAATATTATACCAATTTAAAGATAATTGTTATATTTGTTGAATCTAGTAACAAAAATGTGAGATTATATTTTGTTTCTCTTTTCTTTCATTTTCTAATAATCTATAATGTATTTTACTAAAGCAACAGTCTGTGATGGATTAGAAAATTTTTAAAAACTGGTCTTTGAACAAGGTAGTTTGAAAAGCACTGGAACAGCAGATTCAGGCTTACCTGGTAGTTTGTTAAAATAGAAAATCTCAAATTGTACCCCAGACCCTCTGAGTCAAAATTAGCATTTTAACAAGATCTCCAGGAGATTCTTTTGTACATGAAAATTTGAGAAACACTGGCCTAGATGATTTCTGAAGCCCTTAGAATCCTGAGATTTTTATCATTTACTTCAGATAGAGAAGTATAGAGCTGAAAGACCCTTGGTGATACAAACCACCTCATCATTTTTAGATGGAAAAACTGAGGTCCATGGAGAGGGACTTATGTGTCCAAGGTAACTGGCAAATCAGCAGAACTAGGAATAGAACTCAAGTTTCCTAACAACCAGATCAGTTCTAGAACACTGGATGCTCACTCCTATTCCACCCAATCCCACTTTGTGGGATTCCCTCAGTGATGTCATTGTTTCTGAAATACTTTCTGATTCAAGAATTTATTCTTCTACCTTCCATATACTATGTGGACCTTGAATCTCCACTATTTCAAGTGTCTTCTTTTTGATAATTGCCCTTAATCCCTGTTTCCCAAATCTTCCTATATGCCTATTATTTGGCTGCTATATGGACATTCTGGGGCTTCAGAAGGACTAGCACTAAACTGATTCCTGGTCTTTAGGGAAAAAAGAGAGATTCTTTATTCCCATGAGTCCGGATACCAAATAGCAAGCTTTTCCAAGGAGGAGAACATATGCTATCAAGGCTGCTTTAGAAAGCTCAATGTTCTCAGTTTGTGGCTGACAAACAAGAGAATGGGATACTGGGCCATATTAATAGAAGTCTAGCTTCTGAAATGAGGCAAATGATGATCCTTTATTTGCAGTCTTATCAGATCTGAGGCTTGAGGGGAGAGGTGTGATTGTTGTCTTCGACTGTCTGAAGAGCTATTATTAATAAGAAGCAAATTTGTTGCAGCTAGTTCCAAAGAACCAATGAATACAAGTTACAGGAAGACAGGCCTTGGCTTATAATGGGGGCTACTTTCTGGCAATAAGAATTAGTCAAAGATTTAAAAAAAAAAAAAAAGAGCCATCTAATGAGCATTCTGTCACTGCAGGGAGATCAAATAGAAACCAGTCAACGAATTGAATGCTTGGGAAAAATTCAAGAACTGGGTGGAGAAGCAAAGCTTAATGTCTTCCAGTTCCAAGGTTTTAATAGTCTAAAAATTTCAAGACAAGGTGACTCTAAGCTCTCAGAAAATAAAAGCAAGATCTAGTCCTGAAAAAAGCAGTCTTTTGCTGGATGTGAGATGGACGAGGCTACAACAGTCAAAAAGTGAAGTCTTTCCAGGTGTCTTTTTCAAAAGAGGGCAGGCTAGCCAAGGACAACCTTTTAGGCAGATCCTCCAGGAAACCCAGGTGAGAGTTCCACAATGGCCAGCCACTATGCCCCACTCTGAGTTCCTGTTACTCTACACAAAGGTTAGGATACTACTTTCCAAAAATATATATATTTTTTTGCCAAGCAGTCCCTTACTACTACATATATACTTGTCTAACAGACAAAGGTGCCAAATTTTCTCCAAGGAGGCAGTAGGGCTTAATGGTCAAGATCATGCATTTTGGAAACAGGTTGCCTGTGTTTTAATTCCCAATTGGGACATTTAATTACTCTGTAACCTCGGACATGTTACTCAACCTGTGCTTCAGTTTCCTCATCAATAAACCAAGGATAATAATAGTATCAGCTTCATAGTGTTGATTTTAAGAATACACATTAAACCCTCAGCCTAAGATCCAAAACATACCAAGTATTCAACAATGTTAGCAATTAGCATTCTTGATGTAATAATTGCTACCATGGGCATGGCAGTGTTGCTAACTGAAAAAGCCCCCATCAAGCAACCAGACCCCTCCTCCTACCAGTGCAGAGGGTCTATATTACAAGAGCTCCAGCCAGTCCTTCCACAGCTCCAGACATCCAGAACCTGCTGATCCTCAATAAATCATACATTCCAAACAAACCAGGAATTCTGACTCCCCACCCTGCTCTAAATCCAAAAGCCACCCCTCCCCCAGTTCTCCTGCCTATGCCATCCTCAGCCACAACTAGAGGAGCAGCAAACTGGGAAGCCAATTCCAGACAAACCATCAGGTGTTTCTTCCCTCTCAAGGACACAGCTGGATTTAATACCATGCCTGCCAGTGGGATGGGGTAGGGTATCTAAATCCCTGGTCTAGCCTGTCTGCTTTACTACCTACCTAGGATAGAGAGAGGGCCAGCAATGGGGCTTCCCACTGGGAAGCAAAAGAAGCCTCCCAAGTTTGTTATGGAACTCAGGCCCAACCCCACAATGAACCCCTTAAAGAAAAGGGGGAGGTCTCAAGCTGCTTTCCAAGGAAGCAGTTATTTACAACTTTCTACTCAGTTGCATCTGCAAAAGGTAATGGGGAGATGGGGAAAAGGGCTGCATGGTATTCTTCCTCTTTCTTAATTCCAGCAATGAGAAACAGCTGCAGAGAAAGAGTTAAAGGAGGAAGGAAGCTCCAGCCATTACCCCATCCCCGTGCCTAGGGCTGTCTGGGGGGTCATGACAGTGCTGTCTGCTCTGGCTAGGGGACACTAGGTGGCTTTCTGCAGCAGCTGCCAGGCCCCCCAAGCAATTTGCAAGGTCAAGGCTGACCTGTTTCCAAAAAGGAACAAAACAATTCACTGACAATGAAGCAAATCGCGCATACACCACATCGCAACCCCCCTCCCCAAATCAGGTTTTACCCCAGTACCTCCCTGCCCAGATGCCAACTCTGGGCTTCCACCAGCCCCACTGGGGAACCCAGGATAGCATCACAGCTGCAGAGCATGTCTCAGCCTCCCCGGCCAACCCAAGGAGACTCTCAGTAAGGGGGAGAGATGCTATCGCTAAAGGAGACCTGAGCTTGGGGGAGGGGGAAGGAGGGACATCTGTGTTCCTTACCAAGCGCCACAATCACTTCCCCGAAACGGAGAGAAGAGACGGATGAATGAATTGAAACAAGTTGGAGGTTGAGTCCTCACTGAGCTCGGCTTCCTCTTCTCTTTCTCTGGGTCTTTCTCCTGGTCCCTCTCTCGTCTCTCTGGTTTGCTCGCTAGCTTGCGCGCGCTCACGCTCTCCCTCTCTCTCTCTCCTCCCCCTCTCCCTCTCTCTCTCTTTCTCCCGCCTCTCCCTATCTCTTCTCTCTTCCCTCCTCCCCTCCCCCTTTGCTGGCTTTAGATTCACCATTGCCTAGTGCTGAGCACGCGGCTGTGCTGGGGCTCTGAATACAGTGCTGCAAGGCTTTGGATCTGTGGTTGTTTTAGGAAAGACTAAAGTAGTATTTTATTATTTAAGGTTTCCAGCAGAAAAATAGAGGGAAGCTCAGAAGAAAGGGTAGGAGCAGAGGAAGCAAAGGGATGAGAAAGAAAGCAAAATGGGAAGAGCAGTGAATAGGAGGATAAAGGAAGCATGGATTACCATGCTGATGTGTAATGCTTGCTAGCTGCTCCAAGACAGAAAATAAGTGGTCTGTCTCCCTTATATCCCTATGGGTGTGCCTTCTTAGCTTAGGGTCCAAATAAAGGTTTCACAATCCTGTCTGTTCACATTCCATCTCTGAGGACAATAACCAGCTAAACAAAATTACATCAAAGGGGTTGTCATGCCCCCTTCACTAAAAAGAAAGGATTCAGCCACATTGATACCTAATGACCTAACTACCACCTCCACCCCCAACCAAGTAGAAGTGTGAACCCAGTTCAGAATTGTCAATTGGAGCTTCCCCCCAGGCAAAACAGACAAGCTGCAGAACCACAATGTTTTCCTTTCAAAAACCTCAGAAGGGAATATAGGTATAGGCAAGTGTGTGAGCCCACATCTGAGTCTGCACATGGGGGAAGAGAAGAGAGAAGAGAAGGAGATTAGTTAACTCAAAATATAAAAGAAGTGTATTCCCATTGAGGGAAAAACTGGGCAAAGCATAATAACAATGCAACAGAGGGTAGAAACAGACCTAGGCTAACAATAAAGGAACTTAGGTTTGAGTCCTGCCTCTCAAAATTGCTCCACAGTATCTTTGACAAATCACTTCTTTAATCTGGCTCTCCTCTTCAATGGCAAAATGAATGGTGATAGATGTAGATGATCTTGAAAGACTCTTTGACACCTAACAATCTAGGCTTTAAGACAGGAAAAATCCCAATTGATGAAGACATCTGTTAATAGTGAAAAATACACTACCGAACTTCAAATGTTCGCCAAAGATGGGTCCCCAAATGGGACTGCAAATCACACTGACATGACATTCCATTTTGGATGTTTTAAGGGCAATATGAAAATGAGCATATGTGTAAAGAGCTAATCCTATCCTACATATAATAATTAGCCATAAAAGTACTGGCCTCAGTGTGCATACAGTGACTGGGGCATGGTAGGCATTTAAAATTTTTCCCACAGTGGGCTATTTTTATCCCCCTATCTCAAATTCCCAATACTCTATTCTTGTCCAGTGAGGAATATGTGTGCTCCACTTAAACTGTATACTTCTTCTAAAGCATATACCCATATATTGAATGTAGAGACAGACAGGGATCCATAGGCTCAGAATCACTCGGTTAAAAGGACCCAGAAAGATAACCACCTCATTATGCAGGAGGAGAAACTGGCCTGCAGAAAAAAATATAGCTCACACAATCTCATAGTAAATCAGTGACAAAATCAAGACCAGTACCTAGTCTGCTGGTCCCAGATACCGTATTTTTGTTCACCAAAGCAACATGTAAGCTGTACATAAAGCAAGCATATTTACTTGCAAAAGTGTCCATTGGATTTAATGGATTAACAAAATGGCAAAAAGAAATGCTATGAACTGGCGTAAGGCTGCTATATTATTTCCTAGGTCTGCCATAACAAATTATAATAAATTTTGTGGCTTAAATCAACAAAAAATTCTCTCACAGTTCTGGAGGCACAAAATCTGACATCAAAAAGGTGGCAGGGCCACATTTCCCCCAAAGACTCTAGAGGAGATTTTTTCCTTGATTATTCCAGCTTCTGGTGGCTCCTGGCATTCTTTGGCTTGTAGAAGAATTACTCTAATCTCTGCCTTAGTCTTCAAATTGTCTTCTTTTCTGTGTCTCTGTATGACCAGACTTCCCCATCATTTTGTTATTAATACACCAGTCATTGGATTAAGGCCCACCCTAAATCCAGAATGATTTCATCTTGAGATCTTTAATTACTTCTACAAAGATCACATGTCCAACTAAGATCAAATCCTTAGGCTCTGGATGGACCACAAACCCGAGGGACATACTATTCAACCCAATACAGTGGCCAACTTTTATCTTTTGTGAAATAAAGATACTAAACAAATAAACCATCTCTGATATGATTTTTAAAGAAAAGATGTTTTAATAAAAATAAGCTAGATGACGATATTCTCATAATAAAAATGATTATTTAAATCATACAGTTTTAGCTCTGTGTAAAAATAAGTAGTCTCCATTCACAGCAAACCACCAAAAAATTTTACTAGGACCACTTCTAGTAGTGATGGAGCAGTTTTTATCAAGCAGATAACAACAATAAACTCTGGGAAAAAATAAACAAAACAAATCTGAATGCATTGGAAAGTGATCATAAGTAGATATAAATTGGGAGAAAATTAATGATGGAAAGTTGACAATCGGAAGAAAGGTACAATACTACATGAATTTCCATTTTCTAAGAAATTTTTGTTCCGTGAGGCAGGCTCCAGGTGAAAACATTAACTAAAACTTAGAGAATCTACTAGTTTTGCAGCTGTTAAATTTTTAACAACTAGTTCTTCAGGAAAAAATAAAAGCCTGACTTATAGCATTTCCCCATTTCCATAGTGTAAATAGTCCCACCGTGGCCAATTCCATCAACATGAAGTTGGGAAGAGATGTGCACAGTTGGCACTCACAGACCAGTGCCATTCAGTTACTATTCAACTGCTGATGGTCCTAGTGGCTTGAAGAGCCAGAACACAAAATTCAGGATAACCACTGAAGCTGGAGTGTGATGAGAGAAATTCATGAATGGAGAACAACACAGTGGGAGACCCCAATTCTGTGTATAAACTGCCCAACCAAATCTCCGGTGGAACCATAAATTATGCATGTGGGGACAGATTCCAAAGAGCCTAAAAAAGCTGAAAGAATTAAACAGTTTTCAGCGCAGTCCACCACAGGGAGAGTTTAGAGTTTCCGTTCAGTTAACTGCCTACTGGAAAAATAAAACATTACAGAGAAATAAAGGAATATAGAGATCCTTATAATATATCATGTACAAAGTTCAGAGTACACCCCAAAATTACTAGGAAAAAAAATACAAGGAAACAGGAAAATATTACCTATACTCAAGAGAAAAGGCAACCAGTGGACAATAGTCTTAAGATAGACCAGATGTTGGAGTTAACAGAAAAGAATTTTAAGTCATCTATCATAACTACACTAATAGACATAAAAGAAAATACATTTTAACAAAACAAAAAATTTTAACATTTTTTCAAATGAAAAAATAGAAAATCATATCACAGATATAGAAACAATAAAAAAGAATCAGATGCAAATTCTATAACTGAAAATTAAAATATCTGAAATAAAATTCACTGGGTGGGCTCAACAGCAGATTGGATATGAGAGAATAAAGAGTAAGTTAAATTGAAGACAAATTAATAAATATTATTCAATCTGAAGTACAGAGAAAGAAAAGATTGAAAACACTTAATAGGGCCTCAGTGATCTGTTGGATAATATCACAGTTGTTACATACATATAATTGGAGTCCCAGAAGGCAAAGAACAAAAGAAGAGTGGGGGGGGGATTAGAAAAATAATGCCTAAGATATTTATAAATAAAATAAAGTATAAATTTACAGATTCAAGGAACTCAGTAATCCCCTCACTAAGCAGGATATCACACCCAGGTAAATCAGTCACACTACTGAAAATCAAATATAAAGAGAAAAACTTGAGACAATCCAGAAAAAAAAACATACTGAGGAGCAACAATACAATTGATTGTTGATCTTTCATCAGAAAAACAGATATTTTTAAAGTGCTGAAATTGAAGAAAAAAAATCTATCAATACAGAATTTTACATCCATTAAAAATATCCCTTATAAATAGAGGGAAAATAATGATATTTTCAGTTAAATGAATATTAGGACAATTCTCAAGTCTGAAGGGAAATAAAACCAGATGAAAATCTGGATATTCAGGAAGGAATGAAGAACATTAAAAATGGTAATGTGTGGATAAATATAAAATAATTTCTCTTTATTTGCTATATACATGAGTGCTTAAAGAAAAAGTTATAACATTGGAATGTACAGTATATAATGCAGATAGACATAATTCACTTGACGACTGTAGCATGAAAGAGAGGCAGGGACAAGAAGAACTATACAGTTCCAAGGTTCTTACATTCTACATAAGAAAGTACAATATTGACTCTAAACAAACTTTGAAAAGTTAAGGGTGGAAATCCAATTTCCAGGTCCCCAAGTGAGGAACTTGAAAGTCACTGTTTCATCCTAACAAGTAAACCCTTAACAGACTAAAACAACAATAACAACATGTGAGGATACATGGCAAACTGCTGTCTCCAAGACTAGAGTTAATTCAAGGAGTAACAGTTTAACACAGCAGAGACTCACTCACTGAAACTACCAAAGAACTCAATGTCAGGGTAGGAAAGCCTGAATTATAATTGATAAATTGCTTGGAGGCTTGGGTTGGACAAGTATGAGAGTTGAAAACTCCAGGGGGACCCATTAAAAGGGAGGCCTCCACAATATTGTGACATTTACCTCTAAGGGCATGACCAGGCTCTCAATAAATAGCAGAGAAAAATCCCTTGGATTCTGGTAGGGGGAGGGGAAAAGGAACCATCTTGAAATATGCCAGAGCACTCTGTTCTTCATAACAGGCCTGCCCTCAGGAGAATTTAGTTAACCAGAGCCTAAACTGCTAGGGTATTATCAGATCATAACTGACCAGGGAAATAACCAACTCCAATTGGCTCTAATCTTTTGCATGGGAGAAGAAAATTACCCAACTCTAGCCAACTCTAGTCATGCTCTCTTAGGAAGGGAGAAAAG